CATCCAACGGTGTTAATGTCTAACCTCAACTAATCCACGAAACAAAATTGATAGAAAATTAAGTTTATCGAACTGCTTGACATTATCTTCATGACAATTTAGATAAATCTAGTTTTTATATGAAATGGAAATTAATCTACAATGTTTATGTTTATTCCCTACATAGAATCATAACCGTAGTATTGTTGTCCTTTTTAAAAACAATCGTTCAATCAGTTTAGTAGTAGTACTGGTATAGTAAGCAAAAAAACACAGGCGGAAGTGATTGAATGTATTCAAAATATCCGTTAATTGTCTTAGACTTTGTTGTTCTTTCATTTCTACACCAATTATTCTCTGTTCTTCTTCTCTTCTTTTCGATTTTCTCAATCTTCTGTCGTCAGGCATTTCACTTTCACTTAATAATAGATACTAATTATATCTGTCGACATCAGTAGCACACACCACAAAGGGAGTAGTAGTAGTAGTAGTAGTATTAGTAGTAGTGGTAGTAGTAGTAGTGGTAGTAGTGGTAGTGGTAGTAGTGGTAGTGGTAGTAGTGGTAGTGGTAGTCGTAGTAGTAGTGGTAGTCGTAGTAGTAGTGGTAGTAGTAGTGGTAGTGGTAGTAGTAGTAGTAGTGGTAGTAATGGTGGTAGTAGTAGTGGTAGTAGTAGTAGTGGTAGTGGTAGTCGTAGTCGTAGTAGTAGTAGTGGTAGTAGTAGTAGTAAAGGTAGTAGTAGTAGTAGTAGTGGTAGTAATGGTAGTAGTAGTGGTAGTAATGGTAGTAGTAGTGGTAGTAATGGTAGTAGTAGTACTAGTAGTAGTGGTAGTAGTAGTAGTAGTGGTAGTAGTAGTAGTAGTAGTAGTAATGGTAGTAGTAGTGGTAGTAATGGTAGTAGTAGTACTAGTAGTAGTGGTAGTAGTAGTAGTAGTGGTAGTAGTAGTAGTAGTAGTGGTAGTAATGGTAGCAGTAGTGGTAGTAATGGTAGTAGTAGTGGTAGTAATGGTAGTAGTAGTACTAGTAGTAGTGGTAGTAGTAGTAGTAGTGGTAGTAGTAGTAGTAGTAGTAGTAGTAATGGTAGTAGTAGTGGTAGTAATGGTAGTAGTAGTACTAGTAGTAGTGGTAGTAGTAGTAGTAGTAGTAGTGGTAGTTATGGTAGTAGTGGTAGTAATGGTAGTAGTGGTAGTAATGGTAGTAGTAGTGGTAGTAATGGTAGTAGTAGTACTAGTAGTAGTGGTAGTAGTAGTAGTAGTGGTAGTAGTAGTAGTAGTAGTAGTAGTAGTAATGGTAGTAGTAGTGGTAGTAATGGTAGTAGTAGTACTAGTAGTAGTGGTAGTAGTAGTAGTAGTAGTGGTAGTTATGGTAGTAGTGGTAGTAATGGTAGTAGTGGTAGTAATGGTAGTAGTAGTAGTCGTAGCAGTAGTAGTAGTAGTACTAGTAGTAGTAGTACTAGTAGTAGTGGTAGTAGTGGTAGTGGTAGTAGTAGTAGTAGTGGTAGTAATGGTAATAGTGGTAGTAGTATTAGCAGTATTATTAGTCGTAGTAGTAGTAGTAGTAGATTAACTCTAAATCGATTACTAAATAGTTTATTTTTTCTATTTGTATAATCACAATTAAGGCTTAGTTCTGGCAGTTTGAAGTTTCTTGACAATTTACATTCATTAGTTTGAAAAAGTTGAAGGCATTCAATAAGAAACGATAGACTTGATTTTATTACAAATTCTATATTCATTAGCAAAGTATTTCTGTCATCTCGGGGTAACCGATATTTCATGTCGAGTTAGAATGTTAAAGAGTTGTCGAAAACATTACCAATCAACTATTTTACTAGCTAGTATACTTACGATGTTTAAGTTAATTAATTAATATCAAAATGAATCACAATCAGAAACCACTGTAAAGGAGTACGGATGATATAGATAGTTATAGATTGTTTGTAATTGACCCTATGCTTTCTTCATGAATACTAATAGGGATTGTTTATTATGATAATACTGCTATATAAGCTATTTCATAACATGTTCTAATTAGGAAATATATATATATATATATATATATATATATATATATATATTTCAGAATTATCATCCATCAAATACATCCATTAGGTTCAGATAATTGTAGATTGGTGTCAAGCAAAACAAACTAGTTATATTACTCACCTATTATAATCATTAATTAATTGATTGATTCGAAATTCGATACAATCTATAGACCAATTAAATGTCTATCATATACACATATATTGAAATACCCCATTTTTCTAATGTATCCTATACATTATATCTACTATTGTACCGATTACAGTAATAATAACAATAACCATAGCAATATCTTCAAGAGTTTTTGTATCTACGCTAACGGTCTTTTCTATTTTGTTTTGTTTTTTTTCGTGTGTGTGTGTGTGTGTAGGGGGGAGGGGGTTCCCTTAAATTATATGTTCACTAAGAAATGTAAATTTTTTCTTTTTTTTTTAAAAAAAAAAAGTTACAAATGTAATCCTATTTGTACATAGACCACATATTGAACGAACACATGGGATGAATACGAAGTCATCTGCATAAACAAAGACATATGTATAAAAAACGGATTAATAGAATAACTAACTAACTAACTAACTAACTGGTTACATATGGTCATGACTTTTATCAGAGTAAATAAACATGAATTATTCTGAAAGGCACATATGTGTTCTCTAGATTGGATTCTTTCTAAACTAATTAACTTACACTTCTATTACTATGAATACAATAACTATCTATATGATCAATGGTAACAGATGACTGTTCTAATTCTTTCATTCAATTCAATTCTACTTTGTTACATGGATAATCAATGACAATTATTCAAGGAATATTGATAATAATAATAATAATAATATGACAGTTTCTTATAGAAATCTATGAATCTTTCCTAGTATAAGTTACTGAAGATTGTTGAGTTTCATTAAGATTTTTGTATTGATCAATGCTAGACAACTGTTGTAAATCTGAAAGTACTGAATGATCATCTCATCCTAGTGTAGGACACATCATCAGTGTGTATTCACAATCTTGAGTGCAGTACATGATTATGAAACTTTCAGTCTTATGCACGAACTTTTAACTTGTAAACCATTGAGTAGTCGTCATTCAACAATGTGAATGTCTAACTTCAATCAATCCACGATATTGTACAACCATTTTTCATTGATAATAGGTTTGAGTCTTAATGTGAATATCAATACTGGAGATTATACTGACTTAGCTGATGTGTAGCATATATAACCAGGGCATAATCCAGTTTTACAAAATTATGATTGAAAGTATTTTGGAGGGGATGCACCTAGGTTATAAATAAATCAACTATAGAACAAATGAATGAAGTTGTTACTATCAATTGACAGAAAACTTAAACCTCTATGTATAGTTTAATTGCTATTTTCGTAGTTTAAATAAGTCTTATTTCGTGTTGTTTGGCTTTTATCTTCCCATTGAGGTTTAAGACTGTAATTGATCAGTCTATTATTGGCATATGTGCATACTGTGTGTATGCCTCGATATTGTCTTAATTCACAAGCTTTTTGTAGTAAGCAATGATGGATAGTGGTTAGCAGTGGAATCCAGTTTGATGCGCGTTTCATCTTATTTGGGACTCATCAACTGGATGTAACAGCATCTCAGAGTTGATGTTCACTCTGGGACTCGAACTCAGTATCATTCGCTTCAAACGCCATTGCGTTATCCACTCAGCTACTGAGTCCTGCTAGCCATTTGGTTATGCAATGGGGTGAATTTAAATTTACTTGGTATTGTTTGGCTTGTATCTTCCCATTGAGGTTTAAGACTACGATTGATCAGAGTTAACATCAACTCTGAGATGAAGGTACATCCAGCTGACGAGTCCCAAATAGGATGAAACGCGCGTCCTGGATTTCACTGCTAGCCACTATCATATCAGCTTATAATACTTGTAAATTAAAGCAATATCGAGGCAATCCGGTCAGGAAGCATATATGCCAATAAGTGATTGACAAATTGTAGTTCTAAGCATCAATGGGAAAATTGAAACAATCAATACAAAAATGAATGTGAAGCATTTTGTTTTATCTCACTCGTTTGTGATTGTAAACAAACAGCCTGATTTATTGGTTAAATTCATGAGTCAATTGAAGCTAGACCACCATAGAAAACCTGAAAGCACTGGACGACTGTTTCGTCTTATAACGGGGCTCTTCAGAAGTGCGCAGGCTTGATCTCACCTTGAGAAATTCAAACCCATGACTTATCAGTCTCGCGCGCGAGCGCTTATACACTCAATCACTAGTTATATCTAACTTCAACCAATCCACGGCCGTCCAATTCTTCAATTGCCTCATAATCTCAACTATTAAAATTACTATAATATCCAAAACAACCTCTCTCAAATACGTTTTCTTTAATTCTATTGAGTTTCATGGTATTCTGATTGGTAAATATGAGCACAGGAAGGGAAGTGTGTGTGTGTGTGTGTGTGTGTGTGTAAAATTTCAAATAATCGGCTGTTGTTTAATGCACATAACTTTCCATTAGAGTTTACAGTTTCTTTTTGTTTAGATTGATGTTAAATGAAAGTATATGAATTGAGAATAACTAGAGAATTACTGATTACTCATTAGCTATTACCTTTGAGAATTAATTTTCAGAGTTCTATTAAGAAGTCGTGGCCAGTATAACTAATCTTTGTTGGGTATAAGACATTTATTCACCTAAGACAATGAAAGATGATCGCGTAATGCCATGAATTATTTGAAATTATACATTAACACTATTGAATACTGACACAATTGTCTAGAAGTGTTCACGTGACAGACTAAATATCCTGGATTTGAGTTCCACATGTTGGATCGTGGATATTTTAACTGACAAGGTGTCCCATTACTAAGATGAAACGACCATCCAATGTTTTCAGGTTTCCAACAGTTGTCTAACATTCATCAATTCATGATCTCAATCAATAATTTTAACATTTACATTCTTTTCTTTTTTTTTTCTTTTAAAAGGTTCATCAATTCTATCCATTGGTTGAAATTAATTGTTCAGATGATTTAAGATTATTTTTATGCAGTATGTATACACCAATTTGTTTACCAAATTGGCATTATCGTTTAACTGCATGTAAATCTTTATGTGAAAGTGCACGTGATGGATGTATGCCAGTAATGCGTACTTATGGATTTGGTTGGCCTGAAAGAATGAATTGTGATCTACTACCAGAAGGAGTAAGTAGAAAAAGTATTATGTCATAATACATTTTGCTTATTCATGTTCAGCAATTACTTTGGGATTAGGTTAACCCCTGAACACCTTGGTATAGATGAGAATGAGGAGAGTTAGCTTTACCTTTCGAAATACTCTCAAGTGAACAGGGTAGTTCTATTCAATGACTTCTTGCATCAGGGGTGTTGTTTACGAAATTAAGAAGATGAAAAGCGAATATCCAGCAATTTACCGGGTTTGTGAACACGGAGAGTCTACTTAGGGGAGTTGAAAAAGCCTAATTTCAAATCAATAGTGAATATGAGCTCCAGAATAATGAAGGAATAACTAGTATATGAACCAATCGTTGGTCATCGGTTACTAAGGGACTGCATCTCCTTACGGTGTTCCACTGCCTTGTGGATCAAACCTTTATGTCAAAGGCTCCCGGATATGGTCGCCTATTTTTTTTCTAGAAGCTGAGGTTAGTTTCCTTTGTTGAATGAAATTAGCTGGTAAATGTTAATTTATTAGATACCAACCATTAACTTCATTCACATCTTTGTTTTTCTTTGATATCTTCTGATAGAACTAAACGCCAATACATTGGAATCTATGCATATAAGCAATACTCTGTAATAATTTATCTTGTAAATACACTAGTTCGTAAGAGCTGATCTTGCCAATAGTCTATACTCTTAAACCAGTTTGCTAATCAAAAGTTATACTGATTCTTGTTTTACTAAAAAGAACACATTTCATTGAATTCCAGATAGATCAATTGCTCATTTCATGTACATGTACATACGAGTGGTCTTGAGTGCTGTTAGAGGTAATAATAATAATAATAGTAATAATAATGGAGAGACATTTATAGACATATAGATCTGAATAATTGTATCATCCTAACACTGCGTATTCTTCCACAGATGGGATCTAGGATCATCTGATAGTGTGAATAGTCACGAAATACTTCTTACTTACTGACTGACTTACTTATGCCTGTTACTCCTAATAGAGCATAGGCCACCAATCAGTATTCTCCAATCTACTCTATTCTGGGCATTCCTTTCTAGTTCTATCCAATTGTTGTTCATTGTTCTTCTATGTCTGTCTCAATTTCTTGGCGTAATGTGTTTTTAGATCTTCCTCTTTTCTTTTGGCCTTTAGGATTTCAAGTGAGGGGTTACTTTGTGACACAGTTGGGTGCTTCCCATAATGGAAGACTTCTAGGCTAAAAATAAAACTTTTGCCTGATTCCATTGAATTACTAGCCAAACAATTACTGAATTATCAATAAATAGGATTGTAGATATGATGATCTTTTCAAGTGTATTAACCATCAACCATCTATTATCATCAAAATGTATGTTGATCTCATTATGTATATCTTTAATTTGATATGATTCACGTAGGTTTGAAACGACTGATAATTGGATAGTGATTAATATTAGGTTTGTTTAGTCTTTAATATAGTGATTAAATCTTAACAATCCGGTTGCTATGTAATCACTAAAATAGCCACTATATAATGTGTTAACAGTGTTAAGATATAGAAAAACATGATATTGTTTATTGATCAATGACTACAGGAAGTTTGCTATAATCCAAATTGCTCATTGTGTTAGATCCCGATAAGCATAATGAATGGTAATTTTTGGGATCCATTTATGGAGCAATTCTGTGCGTATATTTTTGTCGTATAATTGTTATATAACTAGAGTGTTCATATTCATGTCCCTCTTGTTATGAGCTTTATTTTGACCTATGAACTATTATTATACAATATACCATTCTTGAGTTATTCCCAGTCTATTAATTACTATCTCCTTCAATCACAGCCATATTCGGCTAAATCTTGTACAAATGTTGTTTTATATTTTATGGTACGTTGTGTTCTGTCTGGTTGTTATATAAACCCGTATGTTTGAAATAAATGATTCGTATCCCAAAGGCTCAGATTGATGTTTTGGACTTAACTGGCTGGGCTAGACACGAAGCAGGGCTAATAAAGACTTTAGATTGCTCATACGAGTTTATGCATCGTTGGTCCGGTTGATAATTCACTGCTCTCTAATTGGCGGTATCGTTACGTTATACATCAGCAGGGCACATAGGCCATATTGAAAGAATGAGTTCCCTAAAGATTTCATGTTTATGTTATTACTAAAAATAATCCAACAGTCTTTTATCGATTATTTTCAGCTACCTAACATGAAATTTATATTATTATAGATTTCTTATTGATTGTCTTCATGATATCAAACATAGTTCATGATCATGATATAACCATATTGTAAATTTATCAGTGGAATTCTGTCTCAATCATTATTATTATTATTATTATTGGTACAACGAGTCACCGGGTGACCAAACTAAAGCACGTGGTTTTCTTAGGGAGCCTTCGACCTAAAGGTCTGATCCACAAGGCAGTGGGGCATCGTAAGGAGATGCAGTCCCATGGTAGCCGGTGAGCAACGATTGGTTCATATACTATTTGTTCCTTCAATATGATGGAGCTCATGTGAATTATTGGTTTGAAATCAGATTAAAGCGCCGTATATTTGTTTCTCTTCCTCTCATTTTCGTAAACAACACCCCCATCACAAGAAGGCAGTCAGTAGAACTTCTCTGGCAGAGGCTATATACGCATGGCTATGTGAGAGTATTTCAAAAGGGAGAGTGGACTCTCCCCACTCTCGGCCTTACCAGGGAATTTGGGGGTATGTGTAGTTTATCTTAAGTAGATTAATCTTTATAACTACTTCTACTATTTTGATGTGGATTAATAAAAACAAACATATCATGAATAAATCTATTTACAAATAAAGGATAAATAGTGGCTACCAATGAAATTCATGATACAGATTTCTTTCTTTCATCGTCCTTCTTCTTCTTCTTCTTCTTCTTTTGAACAACATCACTCACAGCACAAATTTCAGATAGAAGTAAAGTGTTCAAATTTCTCCATATATATTCGTTTCACAGCTCTTGTTCTGTTTACCATTATAATCATTGATTGAATTCTAGATCTATTCATCAATGGAATAAAACATACCCCCCCCCCAAAAAAAGTGAGAAAATATATATCGTTTCTTAGAAAGATTTATCTCTTTTCTTTTTCTTTTCTTTCTCTTTTTTTTTCTTTTTTTTTTACACAGTGGGATATAAATTAACCGAAAGATACATTGAAATGATTCAATTATTTTCTATGTAATATTTAAAAAAATGAATCAAATATACTTTGTATTGATAAAACATTGAATATGATAATGTTTATATACTTGCTTATAATTGTTAACCCTCTTGAAGGAGTATAGAATCCCTGACAACCAATCTATAACCAACTCTCTCCTCTGCTCTCCTTTACATTGGTTTCTGATTGTTATTCATTCTTTTGATTTCTCATTCAAATTCTCAAATCAATATGTTTTTTTTTTGTATTTGTCTTTCTTTTGTTTATCGACAAGAATCTATGTTATTGTTTGTCTGTTGATGCAGTTTATTGATTTCTATAATCTATGTTCTACACACCAACTCTAGCTTGTTTTCCTTATTCACTCTTCAGATGGAAACTAGTTTGTTCTCTGTCACAGTAGGCTGTTGTTGATCGTATTCAGTGAAAGGATATTGCGTATCTTGAGTATATGTTTGATGATAATTGTGGTAGTTCTCCACTTTTCATTTCTGTACAGTAGAAGGGTATTGACATTTTTAATGAAGATTGTGAGTTTGATGTTGACTTGCAGACGATTGTTTTGATTTCGATATTTTCATCAATTTTAGGAATGCTGTCCTCACTTTGTCAATCTTTACCTTTACATGTGCATTAGATGCTCCTTATTAATCGATGATGCTAATTAGATACATGAGAGTTTCTAGGTGTTGATATTCTGCGTGTTGTATTTGTGGATGTCACTTCTTGTCATGTGTATGTTAAAGTCTGCTACGACACTGTCTATCTTCACTTTAATTTGTTAGTTTGTGTGTGTTTGTGTTTGGCATAGAATAGCTGGGTCATCTACGTTATCCAAATCGTTTAGTTACACCCAAGTTGTCCATTATATTACATGCTTCCACTGAGTCCTCATGTTTATACTTTGATTGTATTTACCTATGAGTGTATTATTTAAAGTAAAATAATCAATGGTACTTAAAACACTAAGAAAACATTGTAAATGAATTTATTTTTGATGGAATTTTGTTCTTTTAGCTGAATGGTTTAGTCTTGGCGATTACATCATTCTTCTGAATGACATCATCAGTACAAACTTCAAGTAAAAGTGAATTATTCAAATTTCTTCACATATGACTTACAGCTTGTCCTGTATACCTCGATATTGATTTGTTCTTGTTTACCTTCTCCTCCATCTCAAATAAATTTGTGAAAGAATTGTTTCCCACCCCATGACCTATTAGTCTCGTATGAGTGCGCTTAACCACTAGATCACTGAGCCCGCCGGCATCCAAAGGTGTTAATGTCTAAGTTCAACTAAACTACGAGATTGAACGACACATCCACATTTGTCTTCAGTGAGTTACTATCTCACAACAGACGTGGTTGAATTCCACTGGTCACTGGTTCTCACTAGAACTCCAAGAAATACCTCTTGGAGACTGTTACTAGAAAGGAAAAAAATAGGTTATGCTTTAAAGTGCTCATTTTCTTTAATTTAAGAATGATAAATAAACATAACTCTGAAATTGATTATGCAACACAGTAATCAGATCGATGTTTTATATATTAAAGCGAAATTACAAAGTTGGACTGTAGTGAACAAGAACACAAGTAGACACACGTGGAGACACGAAATTACACAAAAACTAAGTAAAATCTGAGAACCATACAGTAAATACATCATTTGCAAAGTACCAATTGACTGTCACAAACTTGACTGTTTTTGTTTTGCAAATCTCTATTCATCATCTCCGATTTCATGATTGCTACATTTTCACATGAATTACTTTCTGTTCCCATTCTTATCTTCTAGAGCTTCTACTGAAATACATTGTATTCCTAACTATCATTATATACTACTTACTTACTTACGCCTGTTACTCCCAATAGAGCATAGGTCGCCGACCAGCATTCTCCAACCCACTCTGTCCTGGGCTTTCTTTTCCAGTTCCATCCAATTCATGTTCATTCATCACATGTCTATCTTTATTTCTCAAAGTAATGTGTTCTTTGATCTTCCTCTCCTGCTGCTTTAGCCTTGAGGATCCCATGTGGGAGCTTGTCTTGTGAGGCAGTTCGGTGATTTCCTCAATGTGTGTCCGATCCACTTATAGTGCTTCTTCATAGTTTCTTCCTCCGCTCAAATCTGGTTTGTCCTCTTCCACAGTAGGTTGATGCTAATCATGTCCAGCCAACAGATCTGAAGTATTTTGTATAGACAACTGTTAATAAACACCTGTATCCTCTGGATAATTGCTTTCGTGGTTTTTCAGGTTTCTGCCCCTTACAGTAGAACTGACTGTGCTGACATTCGTATTGAAAATTCTGACTTTGGTGTTGGTTGCCAATTGTTTTGAGTTCCAGATATTCTTCAGTTGTAAATCTGCTGCTCTTGCTTTTCTGATCCGCTCCTTCAGACCTGCATCAGATCCACCATGTTCATTGATGATGATGCCCAAATATGTAGAGGTTTTTACATATTCCAAATCTTCTCTGTCAATTGTGATTAGATTGTTGAATGCTGTGTTCTATCGGAGAATCTTGCTTTTCCATTTGTGTATATTGAGACCTACTGCTGCTGCTGCTGCTGCTGAGGCTGGTGCTACACTAGTCGTCTTCTCCTGCATTTGTTGTTGCATGTGTGATAGAAGAGCGAGATCATCTGTGATGTCTAGATCATTCAAGTGAATCCTAGATGTCCCCTGTATCCCGTGCTTCCCTTCAGATGTTGACGTGTTTATGATCCAGTCGATCATTAAGAGAAAGAGAACGGTTGAGAGTAAGCAACCATGCCTGATGCCGGTCTTTCATTCGAACGACTTTGTCAACTGTCCTTCATGAACGATTTTGCAGTTTAATCTATTAAAGGAATTCTGTATGATATTGACTATCTTCTCAGGTACGCCGTAGTGTTGAAAAAGCTTCCATAGTCTTGTTCTGTTCACATTATCAAATGCTTTTTCATAGTCAATGAAGTTGATATAGAGTGATGAATTTCATTCAATTGATTGTTCCACAATGATCCATAGAGTTGTAATTTGATCTGTACACGATCAATCCTTACGTAATCCAGCTGGTTGGTCTCAAAGTTGGTCATCTATGGAGTCTTTCATCCTGTTAAACAATACCCTATTGAAAACTTTTCCTGGTATTGAGAGAAGAGTAATTTGCATGTAGTTATCACATTTGCTGAGATCATCTTTCTTTAGTATTTTAACCAGAAGTCCTTTCCAGTTTATTGGTACTTGTTCTTTCAGTTACCGTTACATCTGCTTTCAATGCCTCTGTTAAAATGTTATCTGGTCCTACTGCTTTGTCATACTTGATTATTATTATATACTACTATTTTTATAGATATAAGTAATACATATCACAGTACTTCTTTAATGAAGTAATAACCTGTTGTTTTTTTGTTTTTTGTTTTTTGTTTTTTTTTTTTTTTGGAAATTTTTATTTCTTCTTAGAATGAATGTGTTAGTCGAAGTAATACACCAAACAATAGAAAAGTTACATCCTCATCCTCCTCTTCCTCCTCCTCCTCCTCATCACAATCATCATTATCTTTACCTTCTGGTGAACAAATTGAAATGATTCATAAAGATACTACTACTAATAGTAATACTAATATTACTACTAATACTACTACTCATTATAATCATAATCATCAATTGAATAATATTATACTTCATAAAGCTGAACAATCATTATCTCATTTAATTAAACAAATTTATTATAATACAAATTCTCATTTATTTAATCGTAAACAATTCAATCAATCAAATTTATTTTCATTAAATCATTTAAATCAATTTTATCAATTATTAATCAAAAAAATCTATCATGAAAAAATCAATAAACCATTTCAATCTATTCATGAAATCAATGAAAAATCAATAACATTTGATGAAAATTATTTCAATTTTTATTTATGTTTACCATGTGAATGTTATCAATCAATCAAACAATCAAATCAATCAATATATCATGAATTGATTATCAATAATCATAATAATCATAATCATAATCATAATAATAATAATAATAATAATAATTGTTTACCATTATGTTATTATCCTAAATTTAATAATCTATCAGATAAATTATTTACAACATATTGGATTGGTTTATGGTGTATTTTATGTATATTATCTACATTGATTACTATAATTACATTTTTTATTGATTTAAAACGTTTTCAATATCCTGAACGTTCAATTATTTATTTATCAATATGTTATTTTATGATTGGTATTGGTTATTTAATAAGAATTATTATAGGACATGAATTAATTGCATGTAATGATACAATACTTAGAATGAATACAACTGGACCAATACAATGTAGTATTGTATTTTTATTAATTTATATATTTACTATGTCATCATCATTATGGTGGGTAATATTAACATTAACATGGTTTTTAGCAGCTGGATTAAAATGGAGTACAGAAGCTATTGCAAAATATTCTCAGGTAATAATAATCTATTATATTATATGAATATGGAAATGGTGGTAGTGATGGTAGTCGGGGTGGTGGTGGTAGTGATGTTGGGGGTGTTGTTGGTGGTGATGTTGGTGGTGTTGGTGAGGGAGAAAGAGATTATGAAGATTGTTATATTTTTTTTAAATTAAAGATCATGAATAGATTGATATTAGACTAAGAAACTGTTTTATCCTAGTATAGGGATTGTTCTGTTAATGATTAACTTTATAAGAGATCCATGGAGTTCATCCATATCAAGTAGAGATAGGTATCTATTTTAGTACAATTGAAAATAGTCATACAATTGTTGTGGATTGGTTAAAGTTAAATATTAACATTTTGATTGAGATCATGAATCGACTGGTGTTAGACCACCGTTGGAAACCTGGAAGCACTGGACGGCCGTTTCGTCCTAGTATGGGACTCCTCAGCAGTGCGCATCCACGATCCCGCTCGATTCATGATCTCAATCAAAAGCTTAATAATCTCCACAACCCCAATACTGATAAATATTAACATTGTTGAATTCTAGTTCACTGGTCTAGAGGTTAACGGTTTGCATTCAAGATCGATGAGATTATGGAGGATGTAGACTGTTGAGTAGCCGCATACTAGAATGAAATAGCCGTCTAGTGACTTAAGGTTTTTAGTAGTGGTCTAACATCTATCGATTCATGATCTCAATCAAAAAATAATAATAATAATAAAATAATTTTATCACTAAAATGGCATTTATTTTGATCGACAGTTTTTAGTTTAAGTTAATGGTAAGCCAATAAAAATGGGTGTTTATTGTATAAAGGAAAGATATGAAGTAACTGTAATCTCTTACTTTAACGGAACATAGACAGTACATACACCTAGACTATTGTGATCAATTCTGAGCCATATCACCCAAAGTTTCCAACCATTGGTTACGATAGTCGCATAGACCGCAATCAAGCAGTATGCATGAACGAACATAGCTCAGACTAGAAGTTCGTGACTTCAAGCAATGATGTCACGTTTTGGTTTAGCCAACCCTAACTTTATTCTAACCATCCTTAACGTTAGTCATCTTTGTGTGTCGTAGTAATTGGTATTCAGGCATACATAACACGTAACCCAAAATGTCTAAGTCGACAAAGATTCACAACCTCATCAACTGATTTACCATTATTCTCTAATACTCTGCATCTAACCTCACTATTACTTACCCGGTGATCATAACAGACACAAACAATATTTCTATGGCATCTTTGATCAAATACTAGTAACTTATGATTAGCTTTTACTCTTAATGGCCATATTTTACAGCCGTGATATAGGACAGAACAAACTGCTGATAAAATACAAATCATCATAACAATTTATTTCAATGTATAATTCTTCCTTATTAGATTTGTTGAGATGTTTTACTAAACTTTTAATAAAGCTGACTATTCACTATCCTAAGGGGTTTTGTGGACATTATAGTAATTTCAATAGTTGAAATCATGAGTCGATTGAAGCTAGACCAACGTGGGAAACCTGGAAACACTGGACGGCCGTTTCGTCCTATTATGGGACTCCTCAGAAGTGCGCACCCACGACCTCGCCCCCTGCGAGATTCGAACCCAGGACCTACTGGTTTCGCGCGCGAGCACTTAACCACTAGACCATTGAGCCCGCCAACATCCAACGGCGTTAATGTCTAACTTCAACTAATCCACGGCAATGAGCGATACATCCATTCACAAATTCATAAATAATGTCTGTATGTGTAGTATTTTAAGCTGGTTAAACTTTATCAATCATGTTTTTGCCAATCTTATTTAAAGTGAATCAGTTTAAAGACTACTAGAGAGATTTCTTTAATTTCATCAATTATTAATATCAGTGCATTTAATGTAAATACTCTTTATTGTTTGTGTGTTAAAGCTAACATCTTATTAACATCTTAATAACTATATCAAGTATGTAAACTATTATTGTTTCAGATCATGAGTTAATTAATGTTAGACCACCATTAAAAACCTGGAAGCACTGGACGACTCACGAAACTGATGGTCATGGGTTCGAATCCCACAAGCAGGATTGTGGATACCTACTTTTGAGTAGTCCCATAATAAGAGAAAATGGCCATCCTGTACTTCCAAGTTCTCAATGACGATCTAACATCAATTAATTCATGATCTAAGTTAAAAAAAGAACCTAAGAATTTCCACAACTCCGAGCTCTAGGTTCATATGTCGAAAGCGAGATCGTGAATACATACTGTTGAGTAGTCTTACAATAAAATGAAATAACCATCTAGTAATTTCACATTTCCCATCTTTTTGATTGAGATCGTGAACTAATTGATGTTAGACCATTATTGAAAACCTGGAGGCATGACCTAGGTTCAAATCCCATAAGGAAGATCGTGAATGCACACTGCTAAGGAGTCCTATAATAAAATGAAATAACCATCTAGTAATTTCACATTTCCTATCTTGATCTAGTTTCAATGAAAATCATGATTTCAATTGTTAAAATCAACATTGAACTATTGAATCGACATTTCTTTTTGATTGAGATCATGAACGAATTGATGTTAGACCATTATTGAAAACCTGGAGGCATGACCTAGGTTCAAATCCCATAAGGAAGCTCGTGAATACACTGTGCTAAGGATTCCTATAATAAGATGGACTAGTCATTCATTACTTCAAAGATTTCAATGATGATCTAACATCAACCAATTCATGATGTTAATGCAAATAAACAAAAACAAAGAAACTTAATCATCTCAACCACCTTGGGTCTTGGGTTCGAATCCCACAAGCAGGATTGCGGATAACTACTGTTGAAGAGTCCCGTAATAAGACAAAATGACCATCCTGTACTTCCAAGTTCTCAATGACGATCTAACATCAATCAATTCATGATCCAAGTAAAAAAAGAACCTAAGAATTTCCACAACTCCGAGCTGTAGGTTCATATGTCGAAAGCGAGATCGTGAATACATACTGTTGAGTAGTCCTACAATAAAATGAAATAACCATCTAGTAATTTCGCATTTTCCATTGTTGATCTAGTTTCAATGAAAATCATCATTTCAATTGTTAAAATCAATATTAAACTCATCAATTATCAATAATTTACTCTTGTTTTTTTCTTTTTTTTTTTTCTTTTCTATTTTTGTAGATTTATCATTTTTTTGCATGGTTTATTCCTGGTACTAAATCAATATTTATATTAATATTATCTGCAATTGATGGTGATCCAATTAGTGGTTTATGTAATGTTGGTTCAATGAATTTATATTATTTACGTATATTTATCTTTATACCATTATGTATTTATTTAAGTTTAGGTAGTCTATTTTTATTAGCTGGATTTATAGCTTTATTTAAATTACGTTATGAAATTAAATTACAAATTAATCATTATTATTTAAAAATTGATAAATTAGAAAAATTAATAATACGTATTGGAATATTTAGTATATTATATACCGTCCCAGCAACTATTGTTCTTGGTTGCTATGGTTACGAATTATATTATCGTGATTTATGGTATCAATCATATCATTGTCCATGTATTACATTATCATATATTAAAGAATTATCATTAGAAAATAATTTATTGAATCAATTAAAATCAATTATGTTAAATTTAAATGAAGAAATTTTACAAAAAAAAATCAATAATCCAATTACTATTGATTATTATAATGATATTACAATACATTTTAATCCACCAAATTATTATAATATACAACCGGAATATTCAATATTTATGTTAAAATATTTTATGTCACTTATTGTTGGTATTACATCAGGATTTTGGATATGGTCACATAAAACAATCAATACATGGCAATTATGTATTAAACGTATATTTCATTATAAATATATAAACAATTCAAAATATCATCAAAGAACCATATCAATTGGTGTTTTAAATCATACTGGAGTACTTGTATCAAATCGTTCACCACCACCACCACCGCCACCGCCGCCGCCGCCACCACCACCACCACCACCGCCTCCGCCAGCACTGCCGCCATTGACAACAAATCCAGGTATAATGAATTGGAATATAGGACAATCAAATGTTTGGATGAATAATAATAATAATAATAATAATAATACTAAATTGTCAAATGGATTAAATTTAGGTATTAATCATTGTAAAACATGGCATGATGATTATATATCTAATAATCGATTACTTTCACACTCACCACCAACAAATCTTGAATATCATCATTCAAATAATATACATATTAATCATACAATGTCTATACCAGTTGGTTCAATGATTGGAACATCAGGATCATTTACTAATAATCTATTAGATGGTACAATTATAAATGATGGAGGGAATAGTACAAGTTTACCTAATGGACAACAACATAATGGACGTAAAATTGATGCTAATAATTTATTTCTTATGTCTTCTGTACCAATAACACATATTTGAACAATTCAATTCAATTCAATTCAATTGAATATATATATATATATACATATAATATTATATAAACAGTCATATAACTATTCAAGCCTTTTTTCATCCCGGTCTATCATTAATATCATATATAATATCATAACCCCTATCAAGAAATTATGGAAAAGTTCTCAATTACCAATTGAAACTTTCATTATAATTTATTACATATTAAAACTTACTATTCATCATTCATATTATCAATATCAATATTAGACTACTTAAATACTATGGTCAATTTACTGGGGGTGGGTTGGGGTGGGGTGGGGTGGGATATTTTGTTATTTATTTACATGATAACTTATAGAAATATAATAAACTTATTTCAGTTTGTGTAAATGAATATAAATTTTAAGGCAGCTTATACAATTTACTTAAATGTGTAAATGAGTAGTAGTAATCAGACTACTGAATGACATTCTCCTTTGTTTGTTTAGATTTTTTTTTCTTCATGTTGATAAATATTTATCGTTGAAAGAAATTCCGAATGGTTTCTTTCTCTTTTTTTGTTTTCTTTTTCTTTTTTTTTCTTTTTCTTTTTAAAATTCTTTCTATATTTCAAAAGGTATTTATAGTTCTATCATACTTCTAGTACACTTTCATAATAGATTGTATATATTAATGGCATCGAGATGACGTAATCTCACTCACTCTCTCTCTCTCTTTATCAATCTCTACTTACTTACCTACCTACCTACCTACCTACCTATCTACTTATCTACATATATATGAATGTATAAATGTATGGTTCATAATTGACAACTGTTTATTTATTGTGACAATTGAACAGGACATGGACACAATCAATCACTTGAAATTGGTGCCTTTCTCCTTTCTTCTTTTGTATCAGTCAATTAAACAGTTAAACTAAATCAGATTTAAATGAGTTGAATAAAACAATCAGTAAAAAAATATCCGAATATAATATTCATAATAACAATACTACTACTATTACTACTACTACTACTACTAACTACTACTACTACTACTACTACTACTACTACTACTACTACTACTACTACTACTACTACTACTACTACTACTACTACTACTACTACTACTACTACTACTACTACTACTACTACTACTACTACTACTACTACTACTACTACTACTACTACTACTACCTACTACTACTACTACTACTACTACTACTACTACTACTACTACTACTACTACTACTACTACTACTACTACTACTACTACTACTACTACTACTACTACTACTACTACTACTACTACTACTACTACTACTACTACTACTACTACTACTACTACTACTACTACTACTACTACTACTACTACTACTACTACTACTACTACTACTACTACTACTACTACTACTACTACTACTACTACTACTACTACTACTACTACTACTACTACTACTACTACTACTACTACTACTACTACTAACTACTACTACTACTACTACCTACTACTACTACTACTACTACTACTACTACTACTACTACTACTACTACTACTACTACTACCACTACTACTACTACTACTACTACTACTACTACTACTACTACTACTACTACTACTACTACTACTACTACCACTACTACTACTACTACTATAACTACTACTACTACTACTACTGCTAATACTACTGCCATTACTACTACTACCACTACTATTACTACTACTACTACAACTACTACTACTACTACAACTATACTACTACCAATAATACTATTACTACTACCACTACTACTAATACTACTACCACTACTACTACTACTACTACTAACACTACTACTACTACTACTACTACCATTACTACTACTACCAACACTACTACTACTAATACGACGACGACTACTGCGACTACCAAACTTTAGTGAATTATCATGATTCTAATTAAAAATTATAACTTCTAGCATTTTTCTTGTGCATAATTTGTGCTTACATTTGTAAATAATAATGATAATCATTTTTGCATGTGTATTAATTGTTATAGTAAATTGAATAAATACACTATATAGTTACCAATTTGTGACATTAATAGCTTAATAAGAAAATGTTATTTGTTTGAACATATAAATATTGGTACAAAGAGGCACCGAATACATATGCATCAGACGAGTTACTTGATTTGTATGTAAGAGCTATGATACTGTCCGTGTGCTCAAACCGAACCAGGTGGACTTCGAACTAAAGGTCTAAACCTTGGACCTCATATACACTATTGGTATGGAATCACGGTTTTTCAACTCCCCATAGATGGATCCTCCATATGTACCAATTCACTTTTATCGTCTCAATTTCGTAAACAACAGTAGAGCTGCGAAAATGCAGTGAGTAAGACTTCCCTGGCAATGGCTGTATACACGTGGCCATGTAAGAGCATTTCGAGATGGACAGCTAATTCTTCCCAACCTCGGTCGTATCGGGGTATTTAAGAGTGAATAAAGTTTTAAAAAAAACAACATACAAATGTAACAAATACTATTTATAATTTTTAAGGTTGAGAAGATCGTGATGAAAAGGACAGGAACAGTGAAGTTTGAGATGAATGATTGACATTTACAAAAGAACATTCAAGTTTAAGACAATTGGTTGATAATTTTGCAAATTAAGTATTCACTGTATAATTTTCAGATTTCACTAAGAGATTGTGTAATTTTGTCTACACATATATTCGATTGTCTTCACTTGTGTTCTTGTTCACTACACTAACATGATGATTTTCAATGGATTTCAATAGATGGTTCATTAGCGAAAGGTATCTTTGATTGTATGATCAAAATAATCTCTGTAATTCATGTCAATAGATTGATCAGTAATCAGTTAAATCATGTTAATACAATATGAATATCAAGTTTGTTAGTTTAAATGATTAAGATCATGAGTCAGTTGAAGCTAGACCACCATGGAAAACCTGGAAGTACTGGACGGCCGTTTCGTCCTATTATGGGACTCCTCAGCAGTGCGCATCCACGACCTCGCCCCCTACGAGATTCGAACCCAGGACCTACTGGTTTCGCGCGCGAGCACTTAACCACTAGTTCATTAAGCCGGCCGGAATCCAACGGTGTTAATGTCTAACTTCAACTAATCCACGAAATTGACCGACAAATCCACCATTGTCTTCATTGAGTTACTATCTCATAACAGACCTGGTTGAACTCCACTGGTCACTACTTCTCACTAGAACTCCAGGATATACCTCTTGAAGCCAGTCACTAGTAAGCATATGTTGATTATTATCAGAAGGGGTTTTGTGGAGATTGTAGTAATTTCAATGATTAAGATCATGAGTCATTTGAAGCTAGACCACCATGGAAAACCTGGAAGCACTGGACGGTCGTTAGTTTAATAAAGATTTTCTATGGATTACTAATAGGATTCTGTAGACTGACCACATAATTAAATGATGCCTTATTTTCAGAAGTTATCTAGTTAAGTGTTAACCTGTAATTGGAACTACAAATGACAATAATCTCTATGATAAAGTTTTCATTAATTATTACCATTTAAAATATATATCTAAATGCATAAACATTGGTACAAGGAGGCATCAAAAAGAAATGCGCCAGATTAGTCATTCGATTTATGTAGGGGCTAAGATACTTCCCGGGTGCTCAAACGAAAGTAGGTAGTTTTCTTACGAGGTCATACCCGGAGCCTTCGAAATAAAGGTCTAATCTACAGGTCAGCCGGAGTAATGTCAAGAGATGCAGTCCCATGATAGCCAGTGACCAATGATTGGTTCATACTCCGTTTGTTCCTTTAGGATCCTGGAGCCAATGTATACCATTGGTTTGGAATTAGTGTTTTCCAAACAACTCCCCTAGATAGATCTTCCGTATCCACTAACCTGGTTAAAGTGCCGGACATTAGCTTTTCGTCCTCTTAATTTCGTAGTTAGTAATAGTGTTATTCAAAATGATAAGTACATTTCAGTAAAATCATTTTGCTTAAAGGATTCATCACCAGCAGATAAAAATACTTATTTACTTACTTACTTACAACTATTACTCCCCATGGAGTATAGAGTGCCAATCAGTATTCTTCAACCCTTTCTCTCCTGGGATTCCCTTTCTAGTTCTATCTAATTGTTGCTTATTATTCTGATGCCTATCTCCATTTACCGGCAAAATGTGTTCTTTGGTCTTCCTCTTTTTCTCATTTGGCCTTGAGGATTTCATGTGAGGGCTTGTCTTGTGACGCAGTTGGGGGCTTTCCTCAATGTGTGTCCTATCCACTTCCAGCACTTCTTCCTGATTTCTTCCTCCACTGGAATCTGATTTGTTCTATCCCACAGTAGGTTGTTGCTAATTGTGTTCGGCCAACGGATGTGAAGTATTTTGCATAGAAAACTGTTTATAAAAACTTGTATCTTCTGGATGATCGTTGTGGTAGTTCTCGAAGTTTCGACGCCATACAGTAGAATTGTCTTGACATTTGTATTGAAAATTCTGAATTTAATATTGGCTTATCGACAGTTGTTTTGAGTTCTAGATATTCTTCATTTGTAGATATGCTACTCTTACTTTACCGATCGACGCCTTCACATCTGCATCAGATCCACCGTGTTCATCAATGATGCTGTCCAGATCAGATAGAATTATACTTTATTTAAATTATAAATAAACAATAAGTTAATAAGTCCTGAATAACTTTTGACTTATACATCATTTTAAAGATGTAGGTTATGAAGGTTAGACTTCATAGTTTCAAGTAATTTCGATTGTTGAGATCATGATTTAATTGATATTAGACCATCATGGAAAACCTGAAAGCAATGAATGACCATTTCGTCCTATTGTGTTGGGCTCTTCAGCAGCGCGTACTTATGATCCCGCTCTGCAAAATTCAAACTGGGGATCTATCAGTTTAATCTTTAGACCATTAAGCTTGTAAATCAATTGAGTGTTGTGTAGAAAGTTAACAGCAAATATATTTTTGTTATATCCCAATTAGTACAAAAAATTGTACTTCTGACATTTCATGACTTAATGTAAACCATTTCATCAGAGTAAATTTCTCTATTTATTTACTCTAAAGAAGTTGCTAAAATCAAGTTACGAAACATCTTCCCGTTAAATAAGTTAATTAAAAGGGCTTAATCAAATTAAATATGAACAAACTTAATAACACATGAGCTACTATAGTATCTTTTTAAATATTTTATTCATCTCTTTCAATTACTGTAATATCAAATGTAATGTGGTGTGCACTACTTATATACACATAAGTAGTATATAACGATAATCACGAATAGAATGTAT